CGAATGCCATGCCTCGCTCTCCTGCGAATCTTTCTCCTTCTGAACACTTTTTTATGATTCAGCTAGAGCATCCTCGACGGAGGAGCCATTACGGATACGCGGCCAACACCCTGGACGACCTTCCGAAAAACATACCTGCGCAAGCTGAATTCCGAAACAGGCTCCTTTTGGAACTATGTTGGTATTTCTATGCGCAGACGTTGGTCAAAGAGAGCTCCAACAGGAGGCGATCATCTGTACGAAGGTTCATGTACTATGGCCTTACCACTGTCCTGCTCGATAGTCAAAGCGCTGCACACCTGAAAACACAAGCAATTAAACAGCTCAGACTCACAGCACGCAGCCCGCCTCATGTCAACCATGAATCCAACAAGCACTTCTTAGATGAACACCATTTCAGGGACCCCCTGGAAGTGCTACATGACATGACCCGCCGGGTTGATGCAGCTAGACAGCATCTGTCTCACCTTCAGCCGAAGGAGGTGCGGGAGTGATGGAACTCACATGATGAAGCAAGCCACAGTCTGTATGTGGCGTCACGTGTGGTAGCCTGCGTGATGTTCGTACCCACATAGCCTCGACCCGGAAAAGTTATGCTGAGAAGTCCAGTCGTCAAGCCGCTTTCATGCAGCATGCTGAAGATGGCAGGCGCAAGTGCAAACATTGCAGCAAGGCGTTTTCGTCATGGCGAGCTTTCATGGGACCCATGCACCTCCCCCTCCTATGTCCAGCACGGCACAGGCTACCCCTGCTGACGGGGTGTGCGCACCGAGGGGAAGCCTGCCAAAGCCCACCACATCTGAAGATTTTCAAGCAGCTTACTGTACCAGACAGACAAGCTAGCTGCTCTTGTACGCGCAGAAATAAATAATGGTCACTGCCCCCTCTGTCGATATAAATAAATGCACTAATAGCATGTACATAGCAAGACATGCATGCTGACAGCACGCTGATGTCGTTCAGTCAGACACTCGAATTGGGCCCAAAAAAGGTGGGTAATCAGCAAGCCCTGCAACTGGTGTTCACACCAGCGTGCTTGCCCTGTTTTGTGGACGGACGTGTGGTCTTTTGTTAAACCATTTTGCCTCAGACAAGCTCCAGGTCACACCGACTTGAAACATGGCGGACGAGCAGGAGCTACTTCGAGCAGCCCAGGAGCTCTCTCAGTTTGCAAGCCCAAGCCTCCTCTCCGAACTCCCCAAGCCAGCGCGCCGGAAGCCTCTCGGAAATGGACACCTCGGCAAGGGACAAGAAGGCGGAGACGGAAGACAACCACGAGGAACCTCCAGCCAAGTGGCAGAAGGCGACAGGCAAGGGCGCAGGAAGCAAGGAGCCGTGCATGGAGCCGCAGACCGTGGACCGCAACAGACGAAGCCCATGAAGAGGTTTCCAGGCCAACCCAAGGGCCTCCAACAGGCGGGACTGGGGAATACTTCCCGGTACGGAGACTATCCGTGGATGCAGGACAGCGAGTTCGACAGCAAGAAGGAGAAGGAGCTCATGAAAGAGCTTGTTATTATGGTGCTCCGTGATCTTGAAGAGCCGGAGGGCGAGGAGGATACTGCTTCGACGGGACAATGGGCCACTTACTTGACTCAGATCAAGCAGAACTTGATCTTCCCCAAGGTCGTGCTGCGGTTCCATGCGCTTCGCCGCCAAACCTCCAACATGACCTCCGCCATCGTCTCGTTCACCCTCGAGATCCACAACAGGTGTCAGGAGGGCCAAACCGCATACCTGGCTTTGGAAAGGCGTGGCAGCTGATCGGAGGCACACTCCGACCCGCCAAGCTAGGACGTGGCCCGCTGGAGCGTTCAGTGGAGGCTCTGAGCTTTTCCGAGGCCTGCCTACGTCTTAAACCAGGCGACCAAGCCAACTACTGCTACGATAACTTTGTCCTTCACGCATATCTTTGGTCTGCCTTCCAGGCAGAGTTTGATTCCGCACTTCCAGATGCTGGGCTCCGTCTTGCACTTCAAAAGGTATTGACAAGCGCAGGCGCGATAATTCACCTGTGGCTTCTCACAGCATGGCAGCAAGCTGTTCAGCAATGGCCCTCGCAGGGCCAGCAAGATGCAGTTTTTACGCTTCA